TATTTATCTGTTTTCCTATTATCTGTTTTACAATTATAGGCCAGCCAGAATTTACATGTATGTATATATTTATATTTTTATATATGTATGTATATATATATGAATGTGTATATATGTATGTGTATACATATATATATGTATGTATGTATGTAAGCTACTTCAGGCTGTGAATTAAGTTTTTGATGACAGCTTCTCTAGTTTCTATATATAATAGATTCCTTCTGGGAGTCACTCAGAGCAGTTGCTTGTAAGAAGATTTTTGTTAGTGTTTTCAAAAGAAGCTGGTTCTGGCTTCCTCCCCAAAGAAGCCCTCCAAGATAATGGAAGGAAATTCTGGGCAGTATATTCTGTAGAAACAGTAAAATCTTAGCATATTATAAGGTCCTTGGAAGATTTCTTCTTTCTTCTCTCTAGCTATGTAAGTTTGTTATGCCTTTTTTTTCATTTTTTTCTGCAGAGGTCTTTTAGTCCTTGGCTACCAGCCATGGTGAAACAGCTGAACATCTTGATTATCAACAACTTCAGCTGTATTTCCATCCTAGAAATAATTTCTTTCCTGACTCAGGTGGCAATTCAGCCACAGAATAACAGGAAAATGAACTTATGTTTCCAAAAGGGTATAAAACTTCAGACAATCAGGCTTCAGCAAGAGACCTGACCTGAAGTGTGAAGTTCTGCAGTTCAGTTTTAAAACCAAAACGTTCAGAAGGTGCCAAATTAAGTTCAAAATTATATCTTTAACCTCCTGAGGCCTTCTTTCTGTGTTAACAATTATAGCAACAGTGGGCAGTGTAGTAGTTCCTTTCAGTAAAAATGGATGTAATTATTAGAATATATCAGAAATTATTAATGGAATTTAAGTCTTTTGAGGAAAAATGTTCCATTTTCCAATCTGAGAGCAACATACTAGTTTGAATGCAAGAGTGACTGGAGATTTTGTATTAGATTCACCTGCTGTGAATGACACCATCAGCTGTTTCTATCTTTTGAAGTTTGGCATTAATAATACGTGTCCCAGATCAGTAGGTCTGTCCTACAAAAGTGTTATCCTTCAGCATCTCTGAACTCCAATCATTAGTGCATTTATGGAAAGAGGATGAACAACTAAGGAAGAAGTGTCATAAAAAACTCTCTCCCATGAACAGAAAATGGAGTAATTTTTAGTAGTATATCCATGAAGTTGGTGGTTTTTTCAAACCCTGGGGTTTGAATTTCTGCTTAAAATACCTATACAGACAATTTTTCTGTTTAAAAATGTCAAAATATTACCTCTGATGAGAGGGAGTTAACTTCTAAAATATCTAATTGCCAAGCTTTCATGGTTTTAATTTAAATATCATGGCCTTTATAAATTAAGCATAAAGGCTGGGCCCTGCTGTGTGGATGTGTAATTTCATTAGTTAATCAGAGATTAATTAAGAGGAGAATTTAGATAAGAATTAGAAATCACCATGCTGTTTTGAGCAAGATTCATTGCCATCTATTCCATGCGGCTGTTTTCTCAAAAAGCATTGCTAGTACATGCAGCTACTTCTATTATTGCTGTTAAAACAGAATGTTGGTGTATGACTGCCCCTAAAGGACAGCTTTTTAACAGCAATGAACTTGTGTCCTTTTGCTATGAACAATGATCATAAAGCTATATTCAAATATTTTCTAAACACTAGACATTTTTATCAAGTAGTCCCAACTTCTGCCAAATAAGCAATTTTATCTAAAGAAAAATAATTTGTTCTCTTACTGAGGAATTTTCAACACTTACCATAAAACTTCAAACTTCAGGCTGGGTTGCCTTGTTCTGCTTGATCTAGCGAGGGATTTAGAGTCACAAGCTCAAGAAGTGGCCCGTGGGCATCCCATGGGGTTTAACAAGACTCAGTGCGAGTGGCTGCACCTGGGTCAGAGCAACACCAGGACCAGCAGAGCTGTCCTGCTGAGAAGGGTTTGGGGGTGCTGGAGGAGGAGAGACTGGAGGTGACCTGTCAATGTATGCTCACAGCCAAAAAAGCCAGTTGTGTCCTGGGCTGTATCAAAAGCAGGGCCAGCAGGGACAGGGAGGGGGTTCTGCCCCTCTGCTCCACTCTGGTGAGAGCCCACCTGCAGGGCTGCATCCAGCTCTGGGGACCCAGCACAGGAAGGACATGGACCTGTTGGAGCAAGTCCAGAGGAGGCATGTCATGTTGATCAGAGGAATGGAGTACCTGTCCTATGAGGAAAGGCTGAGAGAATTGGGATTGTTCAGCTTGAAGAGGGAAAGGCTTCAGGGTTACTTAATTGTGGCTTTTCTGTGTCTGAGGGAATCTTACAGGAAAGATGGAGAGATTATTTACAAGAACATGTAGTGATTGGACAAGAGAGAATGGCTTCAGACCAAAAGAGAGTAGGTTTAGATTGGATATTAGTGAGAATGTTTTTAATGTGAGGCTGGATAGGCACCAGGGTTGCAGGTTTGGAGTAAGTTGCACAGAGAAGCTGTGAGTGCCCCAACCCTTTAAAGGCCAGGTTGGATGGAGCTCTGAGCAATTGATCCAATGGAAGGTGTCCCTGCCTATGGCAGAAGGGTTGGAAATGGATGATCTTTAAAATTCCCTTCCAATTCAAGCTATTCTATGGTTCTGTGACTTTTTTTTTTACTCAGAACAAAGAAACAAATGACCCCTACAGACCCCCAGCATCACTAAGGGTAAGTGCTTGCACATAAAGGGCAGGAGCCCTCTCAACAAAATTCAGTCATCTAAGGGGAGTTATCTCCTCCAAGGGTCCTGGATGCAGATGGAGATTCCCCTGATTTAGACATCTACTTTAGTCTCAACCTGAGACAAAAATCTCTGGCTTCAGATGTTGCAAAATAAGTAGATTTCCTTTTTTTCTTGCAGCACATTCTAGGGGCCTTTCTTAGTGTCCATCCCACAACACAGGCTGGGCATCAGGGACATGTTTTTGTTCACTGTATTGGAAAAAGTGAGCTTAAATAACCAGAGCACAGGAATTAGGAAACAGAAAGGGGAGATAGAAAAGAGCTGGAGAAAATGAAACAGTATCATACAACTCTGTAGGGGAAAATAGTGTCCCTTTTAAAACTAGGCTAATAAACAGATCAATCAATGCAACCAGAAAGCAAAAAAGATACCAGGTTTATGAGAAAATTTCTGTTGAAAGTTTCATGTGCCTGAAAGATTGACTTCTTTAGTTATCCTAATATAAAATATTCCCTCTCTAATATTTTCCTCTGACATCCTTAATCTGAGAATGCTGTAGAGAAGACAGTGAAAATATATGCTTTTGTAAGGTTTTGGGGTTATTTCTACTTTTTTCTCTGCTATTTTATGTAATAGCTTTAAATATAACAGTTTTCAAGGAAATATTTGATCTTTTGAGGTCTCCAGAAATTTCATTTTGTGTTTTAGAAGCACAGTAATATTAATCATGGCATACTCTTATTTAGACCTTTCTATATTTTCCTGCTTATCTAAAATTGCCTCTCCTTTCATGGCTGGAAAATACATACTCCATTTTAGTCAAGCCATTGTGTCTTGTTGTCATGAGTGGAAGTGTTCACACCAAGCACCTTGAAGTCCTTCAGCTGCTCTCCATAAATTCCTTTTGCAGAAGCACGGTGGCTGCTCCAAAGGACAATTTAGAGCGCTGCCTTTCATTTTTTAATTTACATAATTCTGCATGAGAACCTCTCTTCCTGAATAAAATGAGAGTCTAAGCAGATTAGGTAGTAAGTAACAAACCTTAATTGGATACCTAAAACTGGAGAGTGACTGTTCTTCCTGCTATTAAAATAGATCATATGAGTAGCTTTAAATATAACTAGGAAAGACATTTCAGTATATAGTCCTCTTTGTAGTAGCATTATGGCAGTAAGGCTATGAGACAGACAAGCCTTAAACAGGAATTTAATAACTTTATATTATTAAGCCATAACTGGGGAAAAGCACCCTAAATTTTGAGTTAACAAACTCTTTAAATGTGTTAAAATTGAAATGGCATGGAAGCCATTTACACCAATTCAAGGGGACCCTGAGAAAACCAGAGGAAGGGCAATTCATAAAGGGTTACTACCTACACAGAAACCATATCTAGCTCAGGAAATCCCAGAGCTTCAAATGTTTGAAGGCTGAGAGAGCATTCAGGAAAACAAGATATACGTTTGCCCTGTCCTTATAGTTTCCCTTAGGCATTTGCTTTTGGTCACTGCCAGAAATTGGATACTGTGTCAAGCAGACCTTGGTCTGACCTAGAACAGATGCTGTTATGGACATATTTATGTTATTCAAGAAATAAACCATAGACACGACTTACAGTTTCTTTTTATTTTTTTTTTTTGTATTTCAAAAAAAGGCACACATTTCACAGTTCAAAAACATCTTCCAGGTAGCATTTCAGAAAATTTGTTTGTCTTTGCATGCACATAACATTGATAATTCTTCATTCTTTGAAATAAGTTACTTTTTTGCTCAAGAAATATCTGGTTAATAAAAAGCAATAGATTTAGAAAGGCATGATATTTTTTAGGGAGGCACTGATACATTCTGTTTACCAGCAAAGTACTTCAAAGCCTTTGGAACGCATCCTCACCCTAATTCAGCTTGCTGTTTCTCTAAAAAGTTTAGGAGATGAAAGCGGAGCTAATCCGCAATCCACTCACCGTGCTGGGCATAGAGGCAGCACCCATACAATGCTCCTTGATTAGAAGTGAATCAGGTGCAGAGTGCAAGGAGAAGACATCAATGGAGAAGATGCAGATCACTATTGTTTCACTTGGGAACGGGCATCCTCTCAAGCCTAATCTATGCAGGGCTATCAGGTGCTAAAATATTCTCTGGGAGGGTACAGCAGCAAACAAACAGGGTCTGCATTGTGCTGCTCCCAAGTGTCTCGTGTTCACCCGTGGTCACATGCTGTTACAGGGGGAATGTGAAACAATAACATGACAGCCCTGGTGAACACATTCACAAGATTTACCTGTCAAGAGGACAGCGGACGTGCTGCTCTGGAAGGCAGGGATGATAGCTCATTTCCTTGTTTTGTCTTCTTTGCCGAAAACAGGACCATCTGAGGGGCCTGTAGCTGAGGAGAGAGAGAGGAGCCTCTGTTTAGTAAGCTGTGACTTGATACTGCTAAGAGAATTTTCAAGCATGTTCTGTTTGATCTGCTGTTTAGGCCAGCTGACACCATAAGCTGTTTAATGATTGCCTTTTAACTCCATACAAGCACAGTGCTCCTTGACAAAGATATTGAAAGCCTTCGATTACTGTCAGCTGGAGAAACTATGACAAAAGCTGTTCTCAGTGATATAAACCATGGGCCTGGCATGAAACCTGTATCATGTTCTCCTTCTGAACTGTCTACTTCCTTAACTAGAATTTCAAGGTGATTCTTTAAAAAAACAAAATGTAAAGACATGCTTGAAACACAAGAAATAGATGTCTTTGCATTGATTCTGTCCTATCTGCAAAAATCAGTAGAAAACAATGAAAAGAAAAATTCTTCTTTAGGAACTGGCAGCTACTGTGAACCATAACAAATCAGTTACTCTGACAGTCCACCAACCTCCCAGGAGCTTTGTGAGAAAAGAGACTGAAGGCTTGAGATGTAGGCAGACACTTAAGCAATGTTTTCATTGCCATAATAACTATTAATATCCAGTAGCTATATTCTTATGAAGTGCCTCTTTAGACTAGACTTAATAACATCTGCTGTAGTGCAAGTAGGTTAGATAAAAAACTGGATTGTCCTACAAGGAGAGACTGAAGAAAAACATTGTTTCTCCTCAGGAGAGGAAAAGACGGGGGAATGTGGCCAAAGGTCATCACAAAGACAGTGAATAAGGTGCCTGTGACACAGCTGAAATGGTCAACCACCAGTTCTGCAGCAGCAGAACAAAAGGGAAATTTATTGAAACTGAAATGGGTTTAAAAGAGGTAAAACATTTCTTTGCACAGCAGGCAGTAGCCTTGTGAGTTTGCTGCCCTGTGAGGTTCAAAAGGAGTTAGTCAAATTCACTGGGAACATAAAGGTTCTGAAGGGAATAGGCAGAGACATCACCCTAAACATCCCTCATGCAACAACTGTGGCTCTTGGGAGGTGTAATGGGAAAACACCACAGGATGTGGTTGGGCTTGCAGGCTTTCCCCAGACACCATCTCCTCTTGTCTTCTTGGAGTTAGACTGTGGACACAGGCCACACTCAGACCCTGCAGGGTCTTTCTCATGTTATGTCATGAGAACTGAATAGGAGCTTCTTCAGCCAGTGAATCTTCCTCTTAATTTAAACCACAAGCCTGAGAGTTGTAGGAAAAGGTCAATATCCATCAGCCAGCTTTCCTTCATATGCTACCCTCAAAAGAGCAAGCACTTAGGCTTAATCTTAAACACCATAATGAATTGTGTTGATTTTAGTCTTGAAGTTTAGCACATGTGTACCTGAAGTGCCTGGCATTCAATTCTTCTGTGAAACAAAGAGAACCTAAGAGTTCACATCTGAAAGATAACAGATAAAACCACAACGAATGAACAAACCAAAACGACATTAATTGCTTCCTATTACAAGTAGTCCATCACTTTCCTTAATTGAACTCTCTCTTCTCATCTTCCATCATTGACCTTCTCTTACTAGTGAAGTAAAATCTTGCCCTCATGTTTCTGTCCTCTCCTTTTCTTTCTGACTTTTTATTCATCCCTTCCTATTCATTCTAGCACAGTTACAGGACTAAGGAATGTGGGTCTTAACTAAAATGTAGTGTTTTGGAGAACTTCCATGGGATCTCTGATCTCCATCAATGAAGAAAGCACACAGAATTTCTTCTAAAGGCACTCATTTCAGTGTTTGCAGTGTGTTTTTGAAGAGCTTGCAAGGAAATGCCATGCGATAAAGATGGACTGCCAAGCTCAGCAGCAACATGGTGTGTACTTGTTTCCACATTTTGCTTGCCTCTCAAACATGTCCTGTAGGTCATGGATCCACTGAGAATTCTGCCTCTGAAAGGGAATGAGCACCAAATACTTTAAATAGTAATGAAAGAAATCTCAGCTACTCACAGTGCATATACAGGGAACAGTTTCCACCTAGGCCTCTGAATTACAGGTAGCATATAGCAAGGTTTGCATTCCTTGTAGAAAAATACAATAATAATTTTTGTATTAATGTCTAATGAATACAAAACAAAACAAAAAGATGAGAGAAAATCATGATTTTTCACATTGCCTGGCTAAGATCTGCTGACTGATAAGCAGAAAGGTGAAAGGAAAAGACATGCATGCCTGCTGTTAAAGAAAAGCCTATTTGCACATAATGCTCTGGAGAAATTATTGAACATTTCATCCACACAAAATGCCAGCCCTGTCACTCTGCCAGGGTCAGTGAGACCTGGGCCAATCTATTGAGTCAGTTCTAGTTATGCAAGTTAAACGGTTTAGTGGTTGCTTTAATTAGGAACCACATTTTGTTTACAAACTCACCAAAAAATGGCAGCAAAGAATGTTCCATGCTAATGCTTACCAGCCCCAGAACTTGTCCTAACCCTCATTCCCCAAAAAGGGTTTCTATGCCTTTTTCCACCCATGTCTGGTAACGTGCCAGAAACACATTCAGAGTGTAACAAACACAGGTATGGCAGCATAAAAGTGAGATGTAGCACAAAGCATCTCTTCTGTGAGAATCCCATGCAGGACAAGGACAAGGAAGGCTAAGACATTACTGGCACTGTAAGGAAAACAACAGGAATTTAAATTAAAGAACAATAAAAAAAATTATTCACATCTTCCTACATCTGTTAACAACATCACTGCAAATGTTTTCATTGTGACATCAATCTTTCCTTCACATAATGCTTTTTTTCTCATTCTTATCTCACAAACATATCCGCACCTTCTTCCACTCTGCTCTTTCTTGCAGATAGGAATGACCTTTCATAATCTATTTCTCCAGTTTCACCTTTACCTGACACACACCCTCAATGTTGCTTCATTAAATTTCTCAAAAATTTTAATTTTTAATTCACCAAACATCTCAAACACTAAGGATTTGAAGAGTTGCAATGGCAGTGACTTTGTGACCTCAGTGCTCTGCCAGGTTGAGGCACTTAGCATTACTCCAGGTGACATGCTGAAGGGACCAGTTCTGACCAACTAATACCATGGTCAGCCATGCAATTTTGTAGTTTGCAAACATGCCTAATGAACCAGGAGAATGACCTTCCAAAATGTACTGAAATCCAAAGAAAAATACAAGAAAATTTGGGCTGCAGCAGGACCAGACATCCTGTTCAGAGAAGTTGTTCTTCTGTGCAGCTTCCTTTCCCCACTTCCTCTTGGCTTCTAGTCCTGTCCTCAGGTCATTAGACCACATCACTTCCCTGTGTTAGCAGGTTATAAATACTGAGACAGATACCTACTGACATGATACTGACAACAGTTTGATAGCAGCAGATCTACTTTATCAGCTGTAGCACTTCCCTAAAGGCTAACAGAGATTTGCTGAGTCCCCCTTGCTACTAAATACCAGTTGCAAATTTGCAACTTCTTTTCTTTAAGCCTTAAAAGTCTTTACCATGTTAATATTCACTCAGCCTTGCAATTTTTCCTACATGGCTGAAACAGAGCACATGAAGATCTGCCAACCCACAAAAAATACCTTTTTTTGAAGTATATTTTAAAAACCCAGCAGTGCAGCATGTTTATCACTGGTTAATGCAGGATCCTTAAACCAAAGCACTGCTGATCAATAGTGAAGCACCTAACTCTTAGCTTTATTGATTATGTCTGCACAGGCTTAATTCCCAGGTTAACCATCCTGGCTCCCCAGATCTCTTCTTTGCTGAACTTTGACACAGCTTGCACAGACTGAAGAGTATCTCCCCATCACATCCTCGATCTTTAAGCTAATCAATACATTCTAAATCTGTGCTGGCAAGTGCTAGAAAAGATGGTGCTGCTTTAGCCAGAGAGAAAAAGGTTTCTCAGCATGAGCTCAGTTTTCAGCACACACCACAAAGAAAATTGAATGCTCTTGTTTCTGTCACAAAAGAGGACCAATGAACTGATGCTGTCTGATGTTCTCCTTGTAAAAATCACCTGAATTATTTTGCCTTTTCCTAAAATCTGAAGTGACTCTTTTTCAAATTGAAAACAATAACAACATCAACAAAGCCTCCATCAATAAACCACGAATTTCAGGAAAATCTCAGTGTATAATAAAGAGGAAAATGCCATTGCTGTAACAGATTTCAGAGGACACTTTGAACATAGCCTCTGTATTTGCAGAAGGAGTCCAATCAACAAGATGTCACCCAGTTGACTGAAGAAGTGAAGCTGCAATCTGTGCATTAAAATCAGGTTCTTGGCAAACTTTTCAAGTTGTTTTCTAAGTACATGCTCTGTAATAGGCAGTAGGGATGTTGTCATTGGCTTCAGGTATGGGAGAAGATTTCTGCTGTGCACAAGTCTGTGGGAGTGAAGGATTTGAGTGAAGAGAAGGAAAAGGGTGGGAACAGCCATTCAGCAGTAGATTAGTGTACAGCTTTCACAGCTGTGCCAACCAAGGCACAGCTTGGTTGCCAGGGAAGATGCATAAAAAATTTTCCCAGGTCTTAGCCTGCATTCATAAGGGGCATTTGGGGTGAAGCTTCTTCTCTTGGTGTACTGTACAGCTTTCTGCAATAGATTTCCTGTAAAATCATTTGAGAAGGGGTAGAGTTTGCAGCCATACAGACTGCACTCACTACTTAGATGTGCTGACTGTATTGGCTTTACTGCTCCTGTCACAGTTTTGAGACCAGGGGTATGACATTAGTTTCAGCTACATTTCTGCAAGTTTACCCCAGCACTTACATGTTCACATTTTGCAAGCAGAATTCAGCACTGTGGCAGAACAATTTAAGAACCACAGCAAATACAGCAGTTGACCAACACTACAGTTATGGACTCTTGAGTTCTGGCTTGGTTGTGAGTGAGTGTGACCATAAAAAAAATTATATTTAACATCTTGAAGATTTCACAGGCTGGCTGTGTTAAGGGACATCAATTACCTGAGGCAATAGCACAAGGCCAGTTTGCAGGCCTCTCCTGTA